GAAAACCAAGTGGGTTTGCCGTAATGGGATGTCATCAGTAGGCGCAGGACCCCGAGCAGCCCGAGCAGACCTGGTACCGACAGCGGGAGATAGGGGTAAAAGATTATTTTCACACTCAGGCAGCATGTTAACCTCCGAGTACCTGATCAATTTTAAAAATAATAAATAAAAAAATGGTTTCTCAGTAAACCTGCTCTTTAACGTAGCTCGAGTGTTGGACTCGAGTCTCCGTCTCTGGTTTTTTATGCTACTTCTGTTGCTTCAGTTATGATTATTTTTAACGTAAACAGAATAAAGGGTAAAAGTTTATTTTGAAAATCTAAACAATACCAGATGTACTTTTACATTTCAAGTACAGAATGACCCGCTTTCATCAACACATATCAATAATATTGACCTAAACCTACGTAGCTGTTAATTACCAAATGATTACCAAGCTTTCACCTTACCTCTCCTCTCCTCATTTATTTCTCCTGTCTCTCTTTTCCCGTCCTTTCTGCACCACGAATCCTATCGAAACATTAAAATGCTTGTATGTATTTTATTTATGATGTGAGTGGAGAGTTGCTTCCTGTCAGCCCGTGATTTGGACTTGAGTCCATCTGTATGTCTGTCACAAACTACGGGAGTGGTACCACCGAGGAGACCTTCAGAACAAGAAGATTTGAACAATTTGCACATCATAATACATGTGACCGTCTCCATCGTAATGGCTCCATTGCTGCCATGAGATGACATTGGGCTCATCAGCCCAAGTGTCAGGACAATTGACGGGGAGCACACGGTGTAATAGTTCTTCCTGTCCTGTCCGTACGGGTGCTTGATCTCCCAGGAGATTCATTCACACGACAAGGAGATGTCGCCCACAGCTCGGAAGAGGAAATGGAAATGCTTCATGCATGGAAATGAATCCTACACATCTTACAGATGAATGTTAGCAAAAACATTTGAAGTTTGTAAAAAGAATTCACAGATAAAAATAGATGCTTTTAATTTATTTTTATGTAACCGGAGGAGTCGACTGAGAACTCGTTCTCATTTCCGACGACGATCTGACCAAGAGGCAGCAACAGACGTATAATTAGCTTTACACCAAAGAGCAACAGTTAGATCAGATGAAACCAAACAAGACAAAAACAGTTAGACGTAAAGATATAAAATGTTTTTGCCAGAAAGGTGTTTGGTATTTGCTTCCACTAAATGTGGAGAATTTTACTGTTCAGGGTAATTTAAATAGACTAAGAAGTTCTTTTTATTTCGTATAGTCTCTATTTCTGATAAATCTCTAGAACATTTCGTGTTGCTGCTTTGTTACTTTTGCCTTCTGCTTCCCCCGCACACCTGCTACTAATTTGTCAATCAACACACCTGCCCTGTGGCTCCCCATTTACTCCCTCCATGTATATTTTTAGTCACTGGATTTCAGTTGTCGCTGCCAGATTGTTTGCTTCTTTATTTTTCCTCTTTGGCATCATGTTCCAACTCTTTTTATTTAGTCTAAATGATTTTGTTTTCTACCTGGTCTGACCTCCATCCTGCCACTCAGCCCCGCATTTCTGGGAGCCATCCTCTGCTCTCTTCATTAACAAGATTAAAACACACACTGCTGCCAAACCTTTCCATTCCCAACTACCTGCACAAAGAGCTTGCTCACAGTATCAGATGAAGTTTGCAAGAGTACCCCCTCTGACTCACGCACACTAGAGTGTGATTATTGTGCTGCAGCATGGAGCAGAAACTCCAGTTTGAGCTGGCTGGTTGCACACTTTCTGCAGACCTTATACCAGTAGACTTTGCTTAGGGAACATTGATGGTGAACTTGCCCAAGGTCCCACCCATCATGGTTTGTCTGAGCACATGAGCGAGTGTTAGACATTAATAAACCCATGCATTATTTAGCGTGTTTACCAACTGAGCACTAAAGCTCCAAACGAGGTTTCTCAGCATATTTTTGCATGAGCTTTGTCATAAAATCATCTTCACTTCCATTGATAACAAACTCTGAGCAGCATTTAAACTAAACCTCTGGCCAGATGTGTGTTGTACTAAATTAGAGGAACAGAACTCACCTGAGAAGTGAAATTTAGCTCGCCTACACTGAACGGTTAACTGACTGCCCTGAAGCAGCTACCACACTTGGGTAAAGACTTATACACACGGAAACACTTTAAACTGTATTCCTCAGGTGTAAGGTAACACAGTTACATTACACACACACACACACACACACACACACACACACACACACACACACACACACACACACACACACGCCTCCCACTCCACTTGCTTAATTAATTCTAATTTGAACGGCTGTGGCCTCACCTCCTACACTTATGCCATCTGAAGGTGCCTGCCCTGAGAAAATGCTACAGCTTCTTCATTGTGAAGAAAGATGAACAGAGTGAGACAAAAGCAGAGTTAAAAACCGAGTGTTGGTAAGGTGATGTGACTGAGGAACCGCTTTAATATCTCGGACCCTGATGATCCACAAACGTGTTACTTAGGTTACTTGGGTTGGTTTAGGTACCAACCCAAGTAACCCATCCATCCATCCATCCATCCATCCATCCATCCATCCATCCAGTAGTGAAATGTCAACTCTGCGATAAAGTAAGTGTGGAAATCTTCTGTTTATTTTGTTAGTTTTTATGTAAAATAAATCCATTCTTTCTAAATTATGCTTGTTCAGTAAAGTTCCTTTATTTTTATTTTTGCTCAATTTAATCTAAATCAGAGCTGCTGAGGGTCTCCGTTTAGCAATGAATATTTTAGCTTTTTTAAAACATTTCCTTTTCCCTGAAAATTTTTTTAGACTGATGGACTACAATGGCAAATTCGTCTAGACCAATCAAAATCTTAATTATCAGCGCGCTACCGTAACTTTACGAACGTAGTAGGCTACTGTAACTTCTGTAAGTCCTGCGTCCAGCCAGTAATCTAGTGTAATGTCATTGGCAGGCACAGAACCACGAGCCAATCTGGCAGCCCGAGCAGAAATGGTAAATGGCCTGTATTTGATATAGCGCCTTCTAGAGTCCTGGAACCCCCCAAGGCGCTTTACAACACAATCAGTCATTCACCCATTCACACACACATTCACACACTGGTGGTGATGAGCTACGATGTAGCCACAGCTGCCCTGGGGCGCACTGACAGAGGCGAGGCTGCCGAGCACTGGCGCCACCGGTCCGTCCGACCACCACCAGCAGGCAACGTGGGTTAAGTGTCTTGCCCAAGGACACAACGACAGCGACAGACTGAGCGGGGCTCGAACAGGCAACCTTCCGATTACGGGGCGAGCACTTAACTCCTGTGTGGTACCTACACCGGGACAGTAAACAGCTGTAGCCACAAAGCAGATAGAGAGCTCCCACTAGTGCAGTGGTTCCCAACCTTTTTCCCAAGGGACCCCTTTTTTTTTACCAGTAAAATTTTTGACCCCCTCCTATTCCCTCTTCCATTCTCTCTTCCAGTACAAACAGTATTAAGAAATGATAAAATTGTTCAAGCACATTTTAATATGCTTTGATTCAATAGATAACAGTAATAGTAGGCTCCAGTGCAGAACAAAGTCATTAACAAAACCAAACAGAGCATAATGTGCTTGACAGTTTGTATTACTTTTCTGAACACATTGTTTCTTGTAAACACTGATAAATCAATCATTCCTTTCAATAAACGTTTGATACATAAAAATACACGGAGCAAAATGTACTTAAATGTGTATATTACTGTTTATACTAGATTATTTACTGTAAAGGCTGTGATTAATCAACCAGTCCTATCTTTAATGAACTTTTGACACTTGAAAATAAAACAGTGAGCTGAGCAAAATGTTCTTAAAAGTGTGTTACTCTTTCTGTACTAATTATTTCCTGTCTTAATATCAGTAAACTTTTCACTCATGAAAAAAATGTGAGCACAATGTAGGCTATAAACAAGTAATAAATGAAGTTTTAATCCCTTAAAGTGGAGAGGTCCTGGCGACCCACTGAGAGGCTTTGGGGGGGTCGGGACCCCCAGGTTAGGAACCACTGCACTGGTGTTCCTACCTGAACCACAAAACTGTAAAGTGCAGTTTCTGGTCAGCAGGGGGCGACAGAGTGCTGTCCAGGGTGTAGTTGCTCAGGGTTCTTGCTCAAGAACCACTGAAACCATTTTGAAAGCAATAGCTTAAAATAGTGCTGGATCAAGACAGCAGCAACACACTCATTTCTGAGCTTTTACTTTGGAAAAACCTGTTGGACATAGCCCAATTGTTTTGTTTTTTTAATTCAAGGCTTTTCATGAAGCTAATTACAATTAGTTATACAGTAAATGTTTATAACTTTTACTCACGCTTATTAAAATCCATTTCCCTGTGGCAGGGGATGGTCAATGCAGTCTGATTGTTTTTGGAACAAAAACATCAATAAACCAAGGAAGGTGCTAACCTTAGTTTACAGCCTCATGGATACAAGATATTTCCTTGTACTTATGATGTCAGCAGCGGCAGGTGAGAGCCTAATCCTGTCATGCATCAGTGCTCTGTCAACCTCATTAACAAAAGCATTAACTCTCTACAGCTGATCAATAGCCACTGACTGGGCTGACGGCGGCGGGATCGATGGGCCGGGTTAATCCCGTATCATTAAGAAGATAGACGCCCACTTTTTAGGTTGACATTTGATTTATGAGTGGACGTGTGCAGACATTCACACCTATGCATGCCTTAATGCACCACCCCATCCCATCATCACACACACACATATTTATCTGCAAAGACACTGATTTTATATTTCAGCAGCACTTAGAAGTCCAACTTTTGCTTCAGCTCACTGACTTTTACAAGCGTGACTCTAGCGTGTGCAGCATCATGACAAACATGCTCCTGACCTGCAGGTTTATGGCAAGCAAACAGACAGTAAATCTGAAATCTGCTGTTTTATCGTTGAGGCTGTAACCAAGCTTCACGTCAGACTCGCAAACATGGAATACATGACACACACACACAGAGAGGCAAAACACACACACTTGCAAACACACACTCAGAGGGAGCTGAGCGGCGAGTATAAAAGGGGCGTCCTTCCCACTCGACACAGAAGAGCTCTCCTAATTCTCACGCCCTCCCGAAACACGCTGAGACGCTTTTCTCAAGGTAAGAAAACTTTTAACTTTTTATGTTTGTTGCTAGATTAAAATTGGGGATTTTGTAAAGTATTTAGAATGATTTTTTAAAAAGTTTTTGGATAAATTTCTTCTGAATTTGGACCAAATGATCCAGTGTTTCATCCTTTTTTAGAGGTTTCATGTTTTCTGCATCCTAATTTAAAACCTAATTCCATCGCTGATGTGGATAACGGATATTTTGATTGAATTTGTTCTCCTGATACACAGACCTCCCTACACACTGTGATATTTTTATTTTATTGTTATAAGTTATTAATTTGCAACGTGGTCGTGTGAAACCGATGCTCTGATCCTCTGTGAGAGGTTCTGGCAGATCCAAACCTCTTCCTTCCCTTCAACCCCCCCCCCCCCCCCCGACGCTATGTGCTCCTGTCTCTGTGTTGCAGATGACTGTAGGTCTGTGTGTGTGTGTCGTGCTGGTGGTTCTGTGTTCGAGCTGTCTGGGACTCCCCTTTTCCTCCCAGCCTTTAGATGGTCATCGCTCCATCTCTGCTCCTTCCAGAGGTACACAAGCTTCCCATTAGCTGTCGCTGCACCGATCATTTTCCTAAATCTGACACCTGGTGTGTGTTTTTGTTTGTTTGTTTGTGTATTGAGAAGCTCTCCTTGAGGCTGATCTTCACAGCTTGGGAGAAACCCACTTCCGACACAGCCGCTCCGGCCCCCAGATGAAAGCTCTTCCTCTGGCTGAAGAGGATGCAGACTCCCGCGCAAACCTCAGCGAGCTGCTCGCAAGACTCATCTCCAGAAAAGGTGTGTGAAAATAAACCAGTGAATGCGACTGCATGAGATCTACGAAACTCAAAGGATGTGATGAGGAGACGAATGTCTGAGTGTGCAAATAAAGGCACAATCATCTGAACCCATCAGTGTTAGGTTGATTCTCAGAGACATGGGCTGTTTTCCTGCCTTTCTCCTCCCATCTGTCTTGGCTAATTACTGGAATTAGTGCAAAGGCAGCTTTGTAAATGAATTAGTGGCTTGAAAAGCTTTTGTGGTTTGAAAGAGCGAGTATTAGTGTGTGCCGGCGTCCGGTTGTCCCTCTCAAACAGTCTCAACCCACTTCTTATCACTCTTGGTCTTTTTCTTCCCTCTCAGTGTTGACTCCAGACAATAACTGACCCCTACTGCATCGGATGCATCTATGCGGAGCGATTTGTCTGGTCTGAAACGGGAGTGTTTGTCACATTTGGAGCTCAGCAATAATAAAAATGTTTCCAGATCACTTCGGTCCTCCGAGTGTAGGATTTGTTCTGTACCCAGAGGAGAATAAATTCTCCAAATAAAGAGATTATTAGTATGTTTTGACGGTTAAAAGAGCCAAAACACAAAGGGGCTGCTAAACTAGAACGGTGGTGTCCTTTAGCTTTAAAGTTTCTGCTGCATAATGTTCATTTCAAGACTTTATGAGAAAAACAAAACAAAGTCGGAGCCTGTTAAGTTAGACAGAAATCTATAAAATGCCTAAGGGTAAACTGAAATTGGTGCAACACCCTCGTGTGTGTGTGTGTGTGTGTGTGTGTGTGTGTGTGTGTGTGCGCGCGCTCATGTTCATGCTGTTCACTTTGCATGTTTTGGTGTGGGAGGTGTCACTGTCGAGCCTTCTGCAGCCAATCTCGCCCAGCACACCAGGGAGCTAGTGTGTGTGTGTGTGTGTGTGTGTGTGTGTGTGTGTGTGTGCGCGCTGCGTGGGAGGGTGGAGTGAAAAGTGCATCTCTGTGAGCGTGCAATTGATTACCAGAGAAGCAGAAAAGCAGCTTCCCTCTGGTTGCAGTTTAATAAATAAAAAAACTAAAGTTGGATTTGGAGATCAGAGGTGGAGATGTTGGACTAGATGTGAGGGGTGAGAAAAGGGCATTGAGGTGGCGGTAATTATTGAGAGGAAATAGACAGATTTGTGCACAAATGCATGCAGCCATGTGCATTCACTGGAAAGTAAAACTGTTTTGGCTCCTGAAGCCCAGAGAGAGTGGACGAGGATGTGGAACCACTAATGTAAAGTTAAAAAGTGCAGAAGGGCCTCAGATATAGATCTAGAACTTATAAGACCCTGGATACAGAAATCCCGTCCTCGGCTGTCGACTCTGAAGGGTTCAACTCCTTTGGAAGGCTCCAAACTCCAAACAGAGGATGCTGGAATTTGTTGACGAACTGAACAAACTAAACACACTCGGAGTTTTAAAGCTCCATCTGTGGACTAATTGATCTGTCTCATTAAAAAAAAAACTGGCACGTTTCACCCAGTTATGTCAGAAAAATCTCTCAAAAGAGTCGGTCTGAAAAGTTTTCCTGTCAAAAGTGACGCAACAAAGAAAGCGAATCAGGACCAGGCTTCTCTGAAGTGTTCTAATCAGAGGGATACAGATCTCACACATGCTCTTTTATTTCTCTCTCTCTCCTCTTCTTCCATCGCTCCCCCTGCAGGCTCTGTGCGTAGAAACTCGATGGCGAACAGAAGTGGCGGCCTGAGCCCCAGCCATCAGTTATCAGACCGGGACTACTTGGGGTGGATGGATTTCGGCCGGCGCAGTGCAGAAGAGTACGAGTACTCCTCATAAGGAGACGTCGCTTCGCTCTACTCGGGAAAAAGCAAATAAATAAAAACATCCAAGCTCACTTTAAGAGTCTATTTATGATGTATTTGTTGTACAATTGTTTGTAAAACTGTAATAATGCAATATTCATATTGTATGCCAAATTTTACAGAAAAGCTCTCATTGTTTGATTCTCATTTGTTTCTTTATGATTTGGGGTAAAAAAGAAGAAGATTTGGGTCTGTTGAGGCAAACTGGACTGAATAAAAACAAAAATAACCTCTTTGTGTGGCTCGTTCAAACACGGCATGCATCTGACGTCTCTCAGTGGGTGGTGGTCACCTCCAGCCTGCATGAGTGGGCAGGCCTTTGACACCAGAAACTCGCCACGATGCTGCAAGAAGCAGCTGCTGTTGTTTCAGCAAAGGCGCAGAGCAAGGGTCAGTGGCTTTATTGTAATCACGATGCAGTCATGCATGACTCTGGAGTAAAAAGTTATTTAGTTAAACCGTCTGCACTGCATGCGGCACTGAGAAAGCGTTCAGATAAATCCCCTTCAAAGCCTTTTATTAACAGCAACCAGTAGACACGTGCTGTTTGTGTTCCAGCTCGTCTGAAATGTGATAAAAAAATAAAAATAATAAGCCTAATGCTCGACAGCTAGCTCTGAACTTGATGATAAAGTTGTGCAGATGTGTAAAAATACAGAATACTGCATTCAACTTGTCACAGAAGGTGGGGAGATTTTGGTTGGTGGTGAAAAGAGGATCACTAGTTTAGTTCATGGATCTTAATGAACTGAGGTAGAAAATTTGGGGATATCTGAATAATAAATACTTGTTATTGAATTCCCAAATAATAAAAATATATTAACATAATGTTTTCACTGCTTCTTTGAGAAGGAGGTTGAATTTTTTCCATTTGAAGAAAGTTTTGGATAATAAATAAAAATATTCAGAGAACGTTCTTTCTTTCTATTGACTGATTCTATTTCAGAGTGACGGGGCTATGATTGAGAAAGCCCGGTCCCCGCGAGTACGACACCTAGAACGAGGGACAGCGAGCAGGCCTTGGTCAGAGGAGCACAGAGCGCGTGATGGGGAATGTCTGTTCAGGAGCGTGGCCAGATAGGGGGGAGCACCACCCTGGAAGAAATTATAAACAAAGACGAGGAGTTTAAAGTGTGAACGATAACAGACCGGAAGCCAGTGCAGGGAGGCCAGAACCGGACTGATGTGGTCCCATTTCCTGGTCCCAGTCAGGAACCTGGCTGCGCTGTTCTGCACAACCTGTAGGTGACGCAGTGATGACTGACACAACCCTGCATATAAAGAGTAGCAGTAATCAAGTCTAAAAATTACAAAGGCATGTGGTACCCGCTCCAGGTGGGCTCTCGACAGCATATGCTTGATTTTTGCAAGGCGTCTCAGATGAAAGAAACTGGACCGGATCACAGAGTTGATGTGAGCATCAAATTTAAGTCCAGTATCATTTTATACCCCCAAACTGGTCACAACTGGTTTTGAGTATGGAGAAAGAGGCCCACGATCAACATAACGATCCACATTCCTGCTGTTGGGGTGAAAAACAATGAGCTCTGTCTTTCCCTCATTCAGATGCAGAACATTGGCCATTAGCCAAGACTTTAGGACTGGATAGAGAGACCTTAACCAAAACTTAACCAACTGCTGAATCTTAATTATGTGCAGTTTTAAAATCACACTTAAACCATCGACATTAATATATGTACAATGGGTTTCCATAGACTCCAATAACAAGTTTTTCTATTAAAATGGGAGGTGGCCACCACCGCCATTTTGACCGTGTCACAGGTTCCGTCAAGCCCAGACAATTCCATAAAAAGGAAGAGAGGAGGAGCTGAGGGTGGGGCTGTAAGGCTGGGATCAACTGACGACACCCGGTCGAACTAGCTACAAGCTAACCTGAAGCTAACCCTGGCTAACCCAAAGCTAACGCGGAGGTGGGAGCTAAGCTAACGGATGTAGCTACCTAGCTTCAACCCAACCGGAGCTAACTGTGGAACACCCATCGACCTGAAGCTCACACGAAGTTTAGGTGGAGGTTTGCAGCGATTTTTCGTGAAAAGTACCTTGATTAAAAAAGTATTAAATTGGTAAGTTTATAATTTATTTCCGTAATGAAAATATATTTTGCTTTGAGCAAGTTTTCAGTACCGTATTTTCCGGACTATAAGTCACTCCCAAGGGCGTCAGTTTGTTTTCAGACTTGCTGGGGACAATAACCATACACTTGAGTGGGGTTTAAAAATTGCTGGGGACAATAAAGTAGGCTAGCACAGGTGTCGGCAACCCGCGGCTCTGGAGCCGCATGCGGTTCTTCCATCCATCTGATGTGGCTCTCTGTGCTTGTAAAATAATGAATGGATATTTAAATAAAATGCTTTATATTTTACTGCATTAATTTTACATCTGTATGCCAATTCTAAATGTAAAGATTGTCTGCGTAAACCTGAACAGGTCCAACCCGGTCTTACTGTGAGACCGGGTTGACGCGTCACGCTTGTGCGTAATCATGCGCTCCTGAGCTGTTTTCTGACCTTCCCCACCTACAAAGTTTAATTACAACAATCAAACGTGACAGAGCCTGGATTTGTTTTCTGAACAGTCTAAACATGTTTTAAAAAGAAACGTATGACAAAAGTGGCACCTGCTCAGTAAAACCATCAACAGGGTGAAAAATATCAAAATATTGTAGGCAGAGACGGGCTACAACTTCTGGATCCATTTTATATAAATCGTTTTATTGATTATGGTCTTATGAAAGATAACTTTGACGTACACGAGCGACCAGGCGCGTTGCAAGCTTTTCAATAGTGTGGGGGATGTTGTCTGTGCCTAAAATAATTTCATGTTATTCATCCTGTTAGTTTAATTTCCATAATAGCGGAGCAGGTGCGAATTTTAGACGCGTCACGCATGTCTCCGTTTTAAACATGTTAAAACTGTTCAGAATACAAATCCAGGCTCTGTCTCGTTATATTGGTGTAACTAAAGTTTGTACTGAATGAAACTTTACATTAAACCATGTTGAAAAGAAAAGGATCCCATTAAATTGTTTCCCCTCATTTACAGTCAGTACAGCGCAGTGCGCGTGGCTCTGGGGTTAATCAGGTTTACTTGTTTCTCTTTGCAACAATCTTCACAAGAAGGCAAAGCAGTTAAATGGCAGGTTACAGATATTTCTATTTGACTGTTTATTTTGACGGATAAACTCAAGGATGTTGGTTGATTTCCTCCCACTGAAGCGGTCTGGAAACCCGGTCTCTCTGAGGGATGTGTCACTTGGAAAAATGTTATTTTTATGAAATTATGAAACTTTGGCTGAACAGCGCTTTTTCCTGTCTCCAATATGGACACGTATGACGCATCCAGTCATCTCTTCAGCTCAGAAAGCACCTGTAGAGACATTTGATCACGCACAAAGTTCATGTGGAGCAGAAGCGGTCGGGCCACGGCAGGTGAAACGTTCCTAGCCTACATGAAGTGAAACTGTTTAATTGTAACATTAATGTGTTACTGGACACGCTGGTCTGGTTGGTTAGACCAGTGTTTGAAGTGGAAAACACACACACACACACACACACACACACACACACACACACACACACACACACACACACACACACACACACACACACACACACACACACCAATTAAAATAATGCTGATAGCGTGGACTAGAAGACAGGTGATGGTTTACGTATTTAGATGATGATCAGGCTGATGTAAAATGTAATCTCCATCCACATCCAGAAACAATTATCCTCTATTCTATTTGCTCTGCTCTTGTCTGGGCTGACGTAGCTGACGGAGCGCGCGGCGCGCCTAACTAGCGGCTGATGCACATTTTACGCATTTGGAGAGATGGGCTGGATGCTTTGCTTTTACTGGAAGATGGTCCACTTAACGCACGGGTGTAGACTACATATTAATGACAAATGAATGAAAATTAAATTGGGAGTTTTTACTTCATATTTTAGAAATAAAAATGACGGGGGAACACATTTATGACGTCTTTTTAAACTAAATTTTCTAGCGCGACCTGCCTGCTTCACTTAAGTCACTGCTTATTAAGGTCCGTCCAAAATTACCGTGGCCCACCCAAAAATGAAAACCTGGCGCCACGCCTGTTATAAACCTCTGCAAATTGTTGTTCTTCACTTTATCAAACTCAGACTTTGTACAGCTAATGTCAAGATGTAAAATTATGAATTCAGTCGAGCTCTTCCGTCCCTCCATCTCCCGCTCTCCTGGAAACCCGACATCGGCTGCCAGAAGAGGGAGGTGAAGAAGGAGATGAGGCAAACAGAGAGAGTGCAACATAAAGAAACCAGACTGGTGTGGAGGTGAGCAAAACAGAAGGAAAAGTGTGGGTGTTGAATCCCCCACGGGTGCGACGCCCATGCGAGCGACCGGTACCGGCTGCTGTCACCTGGTTGTGAGCAGCTCTCTGCTGTCTGAGGGTAGGCCCCGCCCACAACGCCGCGGCTGCTGCGGTGTTTTCTTTACTGTGGGAAACGGGTAATAATGGCTCTTTGATGGGAACAGGTTGCCGACCCCTGGTATAAGATCTGAGCTGGTAAAACAAAAATCTTCATCAGCAGGCTTTTTTGAAAGTGGGGGGGACACAGCTGCCAATCACAAATTTTGCCGGGGACATGTCCCCGGTGTCCCCGGTTAAAATGACGCCTATGGTCGCTCCTGAGTCACACCAGCCATTAAATGTATAATCAAGAAGAAAAAATATATTTAAGTCGTATTTTGGGGGGACATTTTATTATTTTTCTTACAAAATCTGAGACAAAGCGTTTCACATTGCAAGACAAGTGCCGGTAACAATAACCAAATAATGCGCCGCAGCAGCGCGCCACAGTCTCCAGCAGAGGAAGGCGGTGTTTGAAACCCTCCCAGCGGGACAGGGGAACTCATTCTTGGGTCGGAGTCGGCCCGCAGCAGCGCAGTGTAGCCTACATGTTTTTTTATATAAGTCGCTCCGGAGTAGCAGGACCGGCCAGACTATGAAAAAAAGTGTGATTTCTAGTCCGGAAAAAACGGTAGTTATTAGTATTTGAGATAAATTAGCAGGCTAAATACATTTCATATATTTCCAAAACGTAATACTTGTTTGTATCTTGTACAGCCAACTAGTCTTTATTCTGGACTCAGTACAATTCACCAAAAGTAAAGAGACATTATACAGATGAAGTAAGCACAAGAAACAGAATTATTATCATGAGAACCA